GTGTCCCGTGGCAGAAGTCGGTATTTTGGGGAAGAGCCACACTCAAGGAGCTAAAGAGCCGCATGTGGATCACGAGCCACAGTTTGCCGACCACTGCCTTAGACAAATACCTATAAACTGCTGAGTTTTTCACCAAAGATCTTGAATTCCAATTACTCTACTGTTGTTGACTCTCTTGCTTAACACAGATGGCTATTTATACTATCCAATCTTTAAAATATAATACACATGAGGATTTAATGGGGAGGAATGAGGACACATTTGTAATACCTTAACTAATAAAGAATTTAAAAAGTCTACAATAGCCTATGAAATTAATGTTTGCATCTCAGAAAAGGCCCTTGAAAATAGGTAACCACTATATGGTGTATTATAAAGAGGGTAAGCCAAAAGCTCTGCTATCCAAAATGATTCCCACTGATTTTTGTCCTATGGAATTCTAAAATGTAAATAAATTTCTATGTAAATAAAATTATAAATTGTAAATAAAATTTAAGGCTTTAGCAAGTAAAATTTTAATTGGGTGCTGATGGAGAACAATGCACCTTAGAATAAGAGAATTTAAGGTACATTCAAAGGTGAAGCAATGGAAAGAGTGCCCATGAGGCAGGGATGCTAGAAAGAGAAACTGTAAAAGCACTGATAATAAACGTTTATTTTTAATTCAGAATAACTCTACCTGTGTCCTCTCAAAAATAACCTGTATTTATTTCTGTCCTCTAGGAATTCATTACACTTAACTTGTCTATGAAATAATAGTGAAAAGATTACAGGTAACCTGCAACTTTTTAAGAATAGCGATACCGGTATGAATTCAACCTTGACAAATGATGGCATAAATCTTCCAAAATTACAGCAGTTTTACACCAAAAAAATAACTGACTTTCCTATCCCATAATCAATTGTATAGCCACTTAATTTTGTTTTCTTAAAACCAAATTAACTATCTTACCCCCTAAAATGCAATTTTTTAAATGTTTAGGTTTTTTAAATTTAACGTCTTTAAGGCCCTAATGCCTGATGATACTAGATTTTCCACATGCATTATATAATTATCACCAGAGGTTTGTAGATATGTCTATGGACAAAGTTATTTTGTACAGTCAAATATGTTTGAAAATTACTTTATATCTTGAATCATTGAGAATTACATTATTAATTAGCAATGGCTTAGAGAAGTCTGTATTAAGAAAAAACATTAGGGGGGCAGAGATGGGGTAGAGGGAGTCAATGGGGGAAAAGGGAGACACCTATAATACTCTCAACAATAAAAATAAATTAATAAAAAGAAAAAAAATAATTTTGTTTACTAAGCATTTACTAAGCATATTTAACCATGAAACTTTTTACTCATTGAATGCCTATTAAAATGCAGAAGAATACTTTGGAATATTGGGTAATATCTACCTAATACTACTTCTAAATATTATAACAGAGCAATATTGGGGTGTGCATACTTTTTAATATTACTTTCATTTTCTTTTAAATAACACTAAAGGAAATTAATTCAAATAACCAAATTAAGTATATATACACTTAAAAATAGCTAGATTAAAACACACACGCACACACCATTTAGAGCCAGAAGTCCTGGGTTGAATTTCCACTTCCCTTACTGACTCATACTCTATCAATCTGTCCTCAACTCTCAAGTGGGCATTACATGGCTATTACAAGGATCATGTGAAATAACACATATAAAAAGAGAAATGTTCCATAAGTTAGATATTCTCCTAATTGCTCTGTTTTCCACTATGCCTTTTCATATTCACTCAAGATTTTATTTCTATTTTTTAATTCTAATAAAAAAAACCTCTCATTCTGGAGAGGATACAAATACACCAAAAATAATCTATCTTCACTGAGTATTAAATTGGATTAAGAGAAAAAAAATGGCACCAAAGCATCACTTAGTAGGATTACTTATATTTAAATACCTTGTGAAGTTCCACTCTCTTCATCATCCATTGTAAGATCAATGACACCACTTGAATCACTGGCTGTGGCTTTTCCACTCTGAAAAACAACACACTTTCATTTTGCAAAAGAAACTTTGGCAGACATAAAGGAAAAATGAAATAATACTGAGGAGAAACGAGGATAATGAATAACCTGGTGCAATGACTGCATGACTTTCTCTTGTGTACAGTAATAACACGCTGTACAGGCATGCAGCTGAGGGGCCACAGGCTATGCCATGTAGCCTAGCTGTGTAGTAAGCTATACCATCCAGGCTCGTGTAAGTATTCTCTATGGTCCCCTAACGACGCATTTCCCAGAAGGTATCTCAGTTAAGCGGCGCATGACTGCAAATGCTAATCATAATTACTTTATATTACACCACACCTGATGGGAGGTGGGGGAAGGAGGTGAGGGTCAGTTAAAATTTTTGCAATTTGTCATCTGCAAATCTCAAGTTTTGTTAAGTTAAAGAAAACTAATTCTTCAGGGTACAAAATTCAGGCCCAATCCCAAGACAATGATATAAATTCTAAGTCCTACAATTATAAACCTTTCTATGACAATGATTTCATAGAAAATGACTTGTTAACAAACACAAATCTGTCAAACTCATATTAAAAGTACTTAACAAAGCCTCAAAGAATGTAACAGAACCTAGTCACCACAACATATCTCTAAGGTTCACATTTCAAAATTTACTAAATTTTATATTTATCAAAAATTGCCCCACAGAGAGCCAGTGGCCAGCCCCGCCCACCTACTTCCTTCCCTGGACGCCCTACCGCAGCCTCTCTAGACCCCTAGACCCGCAGAAGCAGCTCTTGCTGCGGTTGAAGGCGGTGGCCCGAGGGCCCCACCGCCCTGGCCTGGGTCCGAGAGCCTGGCCCTCATCCCTGTGAGCCTCGCTTCCACCGGGGCAA